ATATGGTAGCTTCACTGCAAGAGTGCCTAAGCCGAGGCACATTAAACCGGTAGCAGCATTAGAGCAAAAACAACAAGCGGCGTGTATTTTGTTGTTCATTTTTACACCCAAGCGCACTTGTGCACAAGGGTATTACAACTTGTTTGTAACAGGTAAACCGAATCGAGATAGATAAAGACATATGTATACCTAAATTATCAGAATGAAAAGAGAAATCGATTAAGCGGTGACTGTCTCTCCGTCCGTCTGTACACACGATAACTCGAGTACAAATTGAGATATCTTAACGAAACTTGGTACGTGCACTTCTTTCGGCCGTAGGTCGGATGGTATTGAAAATGGGCAAAATCAGACAATAACCACGCCTACCTCCCATATAACGGTATTTTTCAGATATACGAAAACTGCGGTATTTTAGTAACTACTGAAGATTATTTACTCAAAATTGATATTTACAATAATTTTTAGACCAAAAATAAGAATATTAAAAATTTTTGAAAAATGGGGGTAGCCACGCCCACTTAAATGTGTATATCTTGGTAACCGCATACCAAATGGCTGAAAATTTTTAAAATCGGACAAAAACCACGCCCACATCCCATATAACGGTAATTTATAGAAATACGAAATCTTCGATAAATCAGTAAATATTAAAGCTAATTTATTCATAATTGATGCTTGCAACAATTCTTTACCAAGAAATACGTTTATGATAAAATTTTGGACAATGGGCGTAGCACCGCCCACTTATGATCACATATCTCGGTAACCGTTCTACTAATTTTTGCCAAACTCGGCATGGTTATTGTGCTTGCCACATAAAAGCAAAACGTTGACAATTATTGAAATCGGACTTAAATTACGGCCGCTTTTCGTATAACGGTAAATTTCAGAAATGCTTGAAACTTCAATATTTCGAAATTAGAGGACGCTAATTTACTCAAAATTTATACACCGCGGCTTACCATTTAGCGGTAGCTTTCAGAAAGGTGAAAAACATATATTTAATACTTGCGCCGGGTATTTAATGTTCGGCTCCGCCCGAACTTAGATTTTCTTACTTGTTTACTCTTAAATTTAAAAAAAGGCAAACAAAATTTTACCTTGTACGAGTAAAATGTAAAGAAAAACGAGGGTTCGTGGACCACTTCGAATAAAAAAATCAAAATTGCAACCCTGCTGCTGAATAGGTATTCATTGTACCATGGTCTAAGGCTTAGGCACGGTGCACATTAGAGCGATACGATAAGCGATACGATATGAAAATGACGTGGAAATGCGCGCAGTGCACATTAGAGGGATACGACACGTGATACCATATGCGGTGTGATAGCAGACCGTTTCGTTCCACCGAAACGCAAGCGGTATACATATGTATGTCACCGCAGTGTCGCTATCGTCCAAGTGTACACAGTTTTCATCACCTCCTACCAATTCCCACGTACTCAGGATGTCGATGTCGCTTTCATATCGTATCGCGTATCGTATCAAAAAGTCAAAAACTCGCGAAAAACGACTTTAAAGTTAACACTTTGCTTACGCTGCCATAGTCAAAATGAATACACATTTTCTTCTAATGAGCTAGTGGTCATCGATACAGCTATGCAATTTCGACATAACATAGAAGGAGAGGGGCGTCATTTTTGCATACTTAACTAAAAATTTGTATTATTTTTATTATGACACTATAGCAGCAAAGGATAAAAATTACTTGTCATATGTTCAGGCATACAACAGCCAACATAAAAAAAAAAACCGTTTCAGACAGCTCACAAAAATGATTTTTTTTTTTTGGTTGAATGTGTTTCACGTTTTTTCCATACAAAAGTATGTTCGACACTTTTCTTTTATATGAAGGACACTGCCAGCAAAAAAATTGCCAAAAATTAACGGGATTTTATAGCAGCTTGAAACTTGCACTTCATTATACTAGAACTAAAAGGTGTACTAAACTGCACACCAAAAATCTGATTTAAAAGTTTGAGATTTAGGTGAAAATAAGCAGAATTTTTCTAATTATTGTACAAAGTTTGTAATGTGAATTTATAAGCTGCTTGTTGTATAACTTTTATATAAAAATAATATATATTAAATAACCAAGAGACAAATGCCAAATGCCAAATGCCAAAACCGGTCAAAATATTGCAATTATTTACATACCTAGCATATAAGTTCTTACGCAAAAGTGAATTTTAGTACAGCACCATATAAAAAGTGTTTTATGTAATGTACATAAATGTGATATATGTACAAATATGTTTACACACACATATGTACGTACATACATGTGTATGTAATGTTGCATACCAAGCCAATTAATTCAATTGTTTGTTTTCTTTTGTGTTGTTAACTCCGTTAAATTAACTGATTTTATGAATTAACATATTTATTTGTAATTTTTATGGCATTGGCATCGGCCGATTCTTTTCCCCTTAAGCTGATTAGTTTGTATCGGCATCGGTACCTGAAAAAAAAATTGGAATCGGTCGGACTATATTAGAACCCATTTGTTGTGCTCCGATGTTTTCTTTCTGATGCTTTAGTTTGCATGTACATTAGGCTGAGCCAAAACAATTAGCCTAACAAATTTATGGCCTCAGAAGGACCTATTTACTGAGAAGAAAATTCTCACATTTAGAAAAATTTGTATTCCAATTTTAAAAGGTGGCGCCGCGGCGGACATTTGAAATTTTCCATTTAAATTGCATGTAAAAAAAATTTTTTCATTTAAAATGTTATAACTATTGAACCGTTACGCATATTCTTGTAGGGCATTAAATTTTCTAAAAAATTACCCTGAAGTTGGTTGTCTTAAAACATAAACAGACGGCAGCATTGATCCGAATCAACTGGAGGATTAACTGCAGTTGATCCGGATTAAGTCCGAGTTAATTCGAGTCAACGCTGCCGTCTGTTTAAGCTTTAAGAGACGCTTAAGTGTATTATATATAATAATATTACTGAACTAGGTATAGCGTTGATACAAAATTATAATCGTACTTTGACGAAAGACGCAATTTATTTTGCAAGCAGTGCAATTAGATCGCCAGCAATATCGTAATTGCAAAAAATTGAATTTTATTAATAGTTAAAAAGAATATTAATGTTTAAAAAGGCAATAAAAATAAATAAATGGATCAAAAATCTCTCTTGTCTGACAAAAGTAGTTTATAATCAACATTTTCTACACATGTTGTATCATTTTAGGGTATGTGGTTTTCATTCAGCATTAATACTTGCAATAACAAAGCTTTAAAACTGCAAATGTCTACTTTTTCGAATTTCACAGTCGTAAGTACATATATAATTTTTTGAGTACAGACAGTCAATCAGGGCCCTGTTTAGAGAGTTTAGTGTCGTGCAAGAACATGTCCAGAGAAAATTTGTTTCTCAAACGGTTCAATAGTTATAACGTTTTTAATTAAATTAAAAAATTATTTATGTGTGGAAAATTTCAAATGCCAACCGACACCTTTTACAGTAAACAGGCCCTTTTAAGGCCATAAATTCTTTAGGTTAGTTTATTTGGCTCACCCCAATGTACCTATGTATGTACATATCAGGGATGTTGCGAATGTTAGCATTCGCATACGTTATGCGAATGAATCGCATTATTTTACACATTCGCATTCGCATCAAATGATACGAATGTTTTACGAATGCGAATGTGTAATATTGTTGAAATGGCTCTAAGTCTGTCTAACCAGGGGGCGGACAATAACCGCCTTTTAGCTTCAGGCGCTAAACGGTTAAGTAGTATATCAAGCAATTTGATGGGCCTTAAACAAGTACTGCTAAAAGTCTAGAAATAATTTTATATTACTCCAGCGAAAGCGAAGGCTCGGCTGTAGAATCTGGAGACATTGAAACCTGTGAAATTGAAGCTCAATTAAAGGCCTATCTTAAGGGAAAACGAGCTTATCTCGATGAAAATCCCCTCGGTTCGTGGAAAACTAAACGAAAACAAAAATACGAAAAATTTGCAGATCTAGCCCGCAAATATTTGAGCGCTCCACCCGCCAGTGTTCCAAGTGGGCAGTGCAGCCGGCCTTACATACGAGTCTCTAAGAAATCGCCTCATGGGAGAAAAGGCATCAGAATAACTTTTTGAAATATAATATGCACCTTTTGAACTTTGACTACTAGATTAAAACACTGTAATAAGCACTCGTTCAATGCTCTAATAATTTACAAAATTTTTATGTAATAAAAACGGTGACTTAAATTGATTATAACTTTTTTAATGTTATTTCTAAGATTCGCATTCGCATTCCGAAAATTCGCAATCGCATTCGCATTCGCGAATGTGAAAAATATGACATTCGAAACATCCCTAGTACATATGTGTGTATGTAGTTTCGATGCCGGTTTGGAACAGTGTTGCCAGGTCATTGAAGTTAGAAATCGTCAGTTTGGTTCTCAAAAATCGTCATTTATATAAAAAACATATAACAAATAGTAATAAACGGAATCATCAAGCTTTTTTTTAAATTTTATTCTAGCTTATGATTGATATACCTAAAAATAAAAAGTTAAATTTTTAAAAATTTTTATAATTCGCATTACTTTAATTGTAATAAAAGCACATTTTCATGTTTATTTTTTTTCAAACTGCAACTTTGCTATGTGTATTAGAAACTTTTCAAACTTACAAGTTTTGCTAAAGAACTTATTCATAATTCCCTTCGCTCAATAAAATATGTAACGCCACAACGCAAAGATTACGAATTTGACCGCCAAAACATGCACAAATAGTGATGAAACAAAAAAGAAAACTACTTATCGATAACTACTATTAGTGCTGTGTGACTATCTTCAAAGTTAAAAACCAGCCAAATTTGCACATAAAGCAAAATCTTCATTGGCTCACAAAAAGTGTCAAATCGTCACAGCAGTAAAAAATCTTCAAAATGACGACCAAATCGCCAACCTGGCAGGACTGGTTGGGAACGTAATCTATGTACAAAGGTTCAGTGGTTGGATCAGTATGGTGTTAAAGTCTGTTGAGAGCGGGAGTGTTGTATGCCGAGCGTTCGCTTTGTTTAGAGATGCGTTTCTATTTACAAAATATATGTTTTATATACTCGTACATACATACATGCATATGTACATGTATATTCATTTAAAGCCGTATACAAATTTTAAAGAGTGCAAGTGATTTTTGTAAATTTTCAATATGAAAACGTTAATCAATTGAGAAGTGAAACAGTATTTGTGTGATTTCAATTAAGCACATTGCACTACCGAGCTCCTATGCCCATACTTACATGCATATATGCACACATGTATCTACATATATTTACATACATATGATGTACAAATGAACTCTTAATTCGTGTTTGCTTTGCGCAGTTGCGTTCGAGTTTCACCATTTTTGTGAATTGAGAAGCAGTGTTTGTTTTAAAATGTCACGGGGAGAGGAAGAGCAGGAAGTGCGTTCTCTGCTTCTTCGGCATAAGGAACGCATAATGCTCGATTTGTGCGAGACTGATCTGTTGACGGTTCTGGTTAAGAACTCTGTCATATCACAGTCTGAAGAAGATTTGGTGCTAAAAACAGCCAGTGCCCCATCTATCGTCGCAATCACAAAACGAAAAATTAGCGCCGCTATTAGCAGTGGAAGCGGTAGTAGCAATAATACGGTTACTAGTTCTGGTGGTGTTGGCGAGGAAGGCTGCAACAGTACAATCGGATGTAGTAGTAATAACTCCTGCAGCGCTAGTGTGATTAATGAAAACACCCAAAGTGATAATCGTTCGATAACTCCATCCCTGGTAAATTGTAGTGGACCCGATAGCATCGATTGTAATATCGACCAAAAGGAAACTAATTGTAACATCGGTTTTACAAAAGACGATTTGAAATTGAATTTAAGGTCCTTTAATGATGCGGGCATATACCAAGAACAGTCGATTAATTTGATAGAAATCATTACCAAGGGAGGATTTTCTAAATTCAAACAATTCTGCTATGCAATCGACCACGAATGCCCAAAACTAATTGAGGATTTGTTCAGTGACAAAGCGAGATGTGGTAAGTCGATTATACAAAGTAAACATACAGGAATGATAGAACGCACGATTGCGCATACCCGGTGGCGATGACATTTTTCCAGTAAAATTAAAGAAAGTCGAATAGGAGGATAAAAGAAACTGTGAAAAGAGTAAATTTTCTTAGTACAAATATGTTTTCCGATAGGAAACATGGTTTAATTGTGTTAAGTTTGACAAATATATGATTCATAAAAATAATTAATATAAAAAACCAAAAAAAAGGTGATTTTTGTGGAAGTATTAGTGAATTTAAGTGCATTTAAAGTTTCTGAGGCGTTGTTTACTTTTACTTGAGCGGAATACACCACTTTGTTCTCTGCATCGTGGTAAATAGGTGTGTACTCATTAGGGTGGTCCAAAAATGCATGTGAAAAAGTAAAGTCGGAATTTTAATGTTCTCACAACATAGGATTGTTCTACAGTATATTTTGCTTTGCTGCCTTTATGCTTAAGTGCACATTTGAGATACCTGCCCCAAAATTCGCATCAGTGCCATTATTTTATTTATTTATTTATATGGAAACTGCTCCGATAGATGCATTCAACATACCTGTGCAACTATTATCAATTGCCAAAGAAAGTATTACGTTTACCTCCATTGGCTCTACACTTACCCTAACTTTACAAGCTTTTATTTTATTGTGATCTTCTCGCAGAACAACGAAAACGGCTATCATTTTATATAGCTATATAGATAATAAGATACCATTCGGAAAAAATTTAGCTTGCAGTAATTTCTACGAGGTAGGTGCTCCTCCATTATTTGGTTTCATAGGGATATTTCGAAAACGTAAATTCTTTAGATGCGCTCAAAATTTTCTATTGGACACGTTCAGAAGGCGCAACAGCTCAGTAAACTGGCTACACACGACGAACATCTGCGCGCACATGTGCGCCAACATGCTCGCTGTCGTTTGCCACAGACGGTGAGCGGCTTATATGTGATTTTGTCGTGGTAGCGTAAAGATGATTAGCAAAGACGCGGATGATGCAAATGCAATGCTTACATATACGTATAGTAATTTATCCTTATTTATCAAAAATTCAATTAACGAACATGGCTTGGATGCATTTATCCGCCGATCTGCACACTTCAAGCATCAACACAAAATGAGGTTGTTTTTGTTTCCAATGCGATGGTCGCAAACCACGCTACAAGCGACGACCATGCATCAAAAAATTTTGATTTTTTGCGAGCATGCGTGTGCGCGCACATGCTCGGCTTGCGGTTCGTCGTGTGTACGTAACACTGTAAGTAACTGAACGCGTTGTTTTGTACCAGAGACTGGCAAACGATGCTCTTTTTGTGACTTTAAGCCTGCTCACATTAAAAACGGGGGATGAACGATCACCAGCGCATAGCGTGCAGTGCTTGCAAATATATATAAACAAGAATTGTGATGGAAACTAACACATTCTCATTTATCTTACTAACACATATGCAAATTTTGCGTTGGTTAAAAGGAGACCATAAAATAAGGCCATAAGTTGGAGGAAGACGGAAGAATTTGTACACAAATGTTTACATTAGATTTTTCACACTGCCCTTTAGAATTTGATAGAAACTTGTAGGTAGCCAGTGACAGAAATCTCTATCAGTTTTGCCACTCAAATGATTTGTCAAATGATAGTCACTGTTCTTGCAGGGAACAGCTCATACCAGTGATCGGACTTCTACCACATTGTGGTAGATCTGCCACTTTTTAGAGCATCTACCACACAAGGTCTGAAATCTACCACATATTCTCGTTATTGAGTACCTAGTTTTATTTTGCATCGACATATTTTTGGGTTTTGAATAGCTAGATTGTTTGTTGACATTCTACATTTATATGCACGGAACGACCTCGTACTATTTCTGATTAAATCCTATACTATTTCTGATTAACTGACTAACTGTCGGCAAGTTGGTTGCAGGTTTGGATTACACTGTGGAACGAATTCAGGTTAGCAAAAGTTAGGTCGATTCTGAGAGTGAGGGGTGAAAATAGAGGCTAAACTAGAAGACCCGTATCGCGGCGTTTGTTTATGTTAGTTCGTATTTTTTTTTTAATCGACCTTCGAACTTTGCAGTCAAATGCCGATTTTCAGCATATTGTTTATATGGTTTTTTGGCTATAACTCGTCGACTAATTGATATTTTTTCAATCTGTTAAAGCCAAATTATTGCCAAAGACCTGTAGAACAACTAAAATTAAAAAAAAATTATCTAGAAAATTTTTGCAGTGCTTATGAAAAAAAAATGTTGGAAATTTTTTTTCGTGCTTTTTGAACATATTTTCCACAAAACTAGTATTTTTTGCTTTCTGTTTGATCTAAAATATGCTTCTCAGTTTCTTCAATAAATTTCATTTGAAAAGAAAACAATCATAATACAAAACTTGCGTTTTCCAGCTTAATATTAATTTACTTCTCATTTCTTATGTACCAATTTTTTCAGTGTTGGTTTTGAAGAAACATTGAAAAAGACATTATAAAAATATGGGAAAAAATATAATTTTGAAATGTTAGTTATGTAAAGTTTCAATTAAAAAAAATAAATTAATTAACGTAATGATTTGGCCAGTTGCCGTTTAGCAGGCGGCTGTGGATCAACAT